TATTAGATGGCATGGCCTACCACAACAAATTCTGTGGCTATTTCTCAACGTATTGCCTATAGATATTCCGTCCCAGAAGTAACTGATCAACAAAGTGATATAATGTTACTACCCTCTAGCGGTGTTCAAGATGGTGTTTTTACCGTGATTTTTACGCGTCCACTTGTCGTCGCGAATTCAACTATTACTTCCACTACTTCAAATTTTATCTGGGCTCTTCACTCTACTGATCGTCCTTCTGATGATCCTTATACAACGATCATTACTCGCCATAATGACTTAGGTCATATGACTATAACAGGCACTATATCAAATTATGATAAATATATAATTGCCCATGGTATGTTTTCTATTAAATGTAGTCGCAAATGATATATTTTAATTAATAGTTTAAAATTTTGTCATGTTTCTAGGTCTTTTAATGTTTTTCACTTGGGGTATTGTTATACCTGGTTCAATATTTATTATTCGTTTCACGAGGAATATTATTCCAAAACAATTTGTCCCGTTGCATTGGGGTATCATGTCTTTCTTGGCTGTACCATTGATCATTATTGGTTTACTATTGGCCATCGCTGCCGGTGTGAAATTTAATTCAAACAACACGCATCACGTAATATATACTTTTTATTACGAATATCTTTACTTCGAAATCTCATTAACTGCTCGATTTTTTATTTGATAGGTTCTTGGTCAGAGTTACAAGTTTTTCAAATGTTCACGTAGAATATGGTGCTGACATAAGGCCTAAAAATGAAAACATAAGAAATCTTAGTATGTATCGTAATTTACAAAAAGATAAGTTGGAAAAAGCTAAAAAGCAATAGATTAAAGAACAGACTAAACAACAGACTAAACAACACGGAAGACGACATAATGACGATAAAAAGAAAACAATATATTCTATTATAAATTGAAACTAACTCTCAATTTGTTCCGGATCTTCTTTACGTATTCCAGTATATAAAATACTCGAGGATCCATGTAAACGTATTTCTGTTTGTCTTTTCCTCCAGAGATAAAAAGATAATGAAAGATATGATATGATGATAATAGCGACCCAGGCGTAATAGGCCGTTACCAGCGGACTTCCAACATTATACAGGGCGAGACCAAGAGATATCTGATAAAAGGTTCCAACAACTAATATTCTTCCAAACCACCTATTCAAAAAGTACG